AATTTTCCAGTTGTAACTTTAAAGTCATAACAGAAAGTTGGAGTTGAATGCTTATAGCCACAATTTCTGACCTCCTACTGCCATTGTATACTAAAATAGATCTGAAAGATTTGATTAAAGTATTCAATGACCTGTTTGATAGTTTTATAGATACAGAAATAGATAATCCAAAATTTAAATTTACCAAAATCCAATGTAAACATATTCTTCATTTCTGTGTTTATAATTGTTACATTACTTTTAACGTACAGGTATATATAAACAAACAGTGGGAGCGAACTTCTCTTCAAATATGGCCAATTTCTATCTGTTTTTTTATGAAAATTCATTCATGAAACAGGTTTCAAATTCTAAGTCATACACATATACCTTTCCTTACACAGATGATTTAATTGCTATAAATAATCAGAACTTTCCACCAAGCTTAATATATCAAAAATAACTTATAATGGAAAAAAAAGTAATACTGATCACTTGTTTGCTAACTATTTAGATTTGGATATTAAGTTAAAAATAGCAAAGTACAATTGACTATTTGTGATACGAGAAGGGCATAAAATTTTCCCATTCTTGATCTACCCACCCCCAATAGTGTAGTGCCACATATGATGCTTCAAGGCATCATTATATCCCAATTAAAATGACTTTTAACTGTTTGTAACAATAGTAACTCTTTTATGGATAATGATATATTATTCATAAATAAACTAGTAAATAATGGTTATAAATACCGGCAATTGAGAAAACTTCTTGCACTGTTTTATAATAAATATGAACATTTTTTTATAAATAAACTTTCAATAAAGAAAATATCTATGTTGACACTAGAAGCAGTTACCAACCTCTAATCAGTAACACTAAAATTACAATTTATTCAATATAGCAGGGACTGAAAAGTAGCTGGGCTGATCCCATCCTATACTTGAATAATTTTACAAGAGGAATATGAACTAGAAAGAAAGTTGAGGCAGAGTATGTAGTTCACTTTAAGATCTTTTATACTTTATTGAATACTTTTATCATCTTTTTAGAAAAAGGTGGAGTAATCTATTGTAGAATTTTTAGGGTGGTTTTACTATTATTCTTCTACTTTAGGAACTATCAGAAATTTTAAGGGTGGAAGTTGGAAGGAACTTTAGTAGAAATATTTTTTGGGTGGTATTATTATTACTATTTTCTACTTTTAATATTAGAAGAACTTTTATTGGTAACTGCCTTCCCTGGCTGCAGACAGTGGAAGGCTGTAGGAGTTGAGACACTGTGGGTATAAGCTCTCAACTCTGTACCCTTATTTGATTTTCCGTCTGCGTTTGCATTATGACTTTAAGGTTATGACTGGAAAATTGCAATGGAATTTTGAAATAAAAATAATTTTAAGGCTTAATTTATATATATATGATCTCAAATAATGTGTTTTGATTGTAAAAAAAAAACAATAATTCAACACAATTAATGAATAACTATAGTAATACAAGCTAGAAGAAAAATATATTTCCAAAAAGTCATTTTTTAGGTTCATACAATACATAAGCATGTCTTTTCTTTAAGCCATGATTCACATTTACATGTGAAAAATAGTCCAAAAAAAAACAAGTTTTATTGTACAAAATCATTTAAGAAACAGGTAAATGATTTAACTTTGTGGAGAAGGCAAGAAATTCAAAGAAATGTTTATGAGTGAAACCAAGATACTGCTCAGTGCCAGAAGGAAACAGAGATGTCACTAAAGTATCAGGCATTTTAAGAAAATAAGTGAACATGAGTGTGCTTTGTTTCTCAAATATTGAAGAGTTTATATTCATATTTTATGTTATATTATTGTATCTATTTCCTCTATGTAAATAAAAGTTATTTTACTTAATTGATTGTTTTAGTAGAGTGTTCAATCTGTACTTGTTCAGCGTGAGTGCCGTTTTGACTTGTTGATAATAACGCTCCTCCACCTATATTACTCTCTGGTGCACATGGTTCCCCATGGTAGCATTATAATGAGACAGTACTGTATCAAAATCATGGTAAACTTCTATAGAATTTGCACACTATAATCTATTTATCTGACCTCATACCAAAGTCTTTATTACATATCTAACAGTAACATTCTCTATATTATTGTTAGATCATTGCTGAGTGAGTAGGTACTAATACATTGCACTACCCAATGAAAACATATTATTATACTTATTGGTAATTTTTACTGACAACTCACTAATTTACAAAAAAGCAAGGTCAGGACTTTATGATAGTCAAATCTGATTTATTAACTCTACCAGATAGAAAATTAATCTTGTAAGATAAGTAAATCACTCAGTAGATTATTAAGTCTATAAACAAAATATAGTTTGTGTGTGTCTCTTGTATATTAAATCTCACAGTAAAATAAAAAATGTACATTATTGGCTCTACATATTTTTTGATATAAATTAACCCACAGTTTTCAACTACTGTAATTCTCACGATTTTGAATGTATAGGGAAAGTACCTTCAATTTTTATAGTCAGTGTGTGTATGATAATCACCACAGAGTGCTAACATAAGAACATTTTGCACCTAAAATTTTATAAACTTATATCTTTATAAACCTTTCTACCGGGTCTGTAAAATAATCAAATTCTTCATGGCACAGGCCTTTAACTTTTAGACTCTTTATTCGCTGCTAATTTCTAGGGTTGGGAGAGACACACACCTTGCTTTATGTCAAACAAAACAAGCTTTATTATAAATGTTTGAAGTATGTATTATTTAATTCACATACACATGAAAAAATAACAATATCTTGAATAGAAACATCTGATTTAATGTACTAAAAAAAGAAAATAAGTTGAGAGATCTTATCTCCATAACCTAAACTTTCATCCCCAGTAGCTCTCCTCTTAACTATTTCCAACAAGTCAATATCTTTGTTTATAAAATGGAGATCAAAACTGTATACAGTATTCCAAGTATGGCCTAACTAATGATTTATATGTATAGAGAATTACTTTTCACATGTAATAAATATCATGAACCATGATAGTGATTCATAATAGGAATTACACAAAACTCTAATAAAACTTCTAATATCAGGTACCTGATGATGACAAAACCTTGAAAATTTGCTGTTGTCAAACTTATATTAAAGTTTTTCTTCATTACCCATTCAAGCCGTCTGCAAGCATTATTATATACATCTTTAATTTTACTATTCCACACCTGAACTGAAAATTGACTAGGAGGTAGGTGAGACAGCATTTTTAAGGAAAATGATAATATAGCTGAACTAAATCTTAGAAAGGAAACATACTTAAATAATAATAAAAAGAGTAAATTTGAAATTGAAAAAGTGATGGCAGCAGTCATTTTTTTACAAAAGTTTCTAATTTTCCTTTCCCTAAAATAAAATACATCTATATCATCGCTAGGAACTCTGCTCAGTTTTATTGGGAATTTTGTAAATTAATTATTGATGCTAAACTAAAAATTTTTTAACTGCAAAATAGTTGAAAAGGCCAGTTTTGTAAAGGTGCCTTATAGGGACAGCTTCTGATACAAGTTTATAATCAAATAGGGTGGAATCTTTCACTATTTGACAAGTCACTGGTCATATAGCCTTGGCCTTCAGTGTAATCTGTAATTATAGTAATAGAAGAGTCTGTGTGTGTAACCACCATAGCTCCAAGAGGAAAGAACCTAGAGACATGAAACTTTGTATGCATATTAAGGGGATTCTGAGGGTATGCACCTGGGTATTATTTTTTAGATTTGACTCAAAAAAAAGTTTGGTGAATTCTTATCTCCTAAGCCCCATAATTCTGCTTCCTGAAGGTTTGTAGAAAAGTATAATTTTTTTTCAAATTCTCACTCACTGAATGAACAATATGTGGAGGTTTTCTGCCAAATATTCTTTTTCTTTTTTATTAACACAAACATGGGAAGAAAAATACAAATAAAAGAATTAAAAAAAGTTGAATCAATCTACGTTTGGGAAACAGCAACAAATAATGGAAGAAAAATATGAATCAGAGAGTACTGGAGAATGAAAAAAATTCAAATAAAAACACAGGAAGAAAAATTAATCTGAGAAGCTTTGCTTTTAAAAAGATTTGAATTGAACTAAGTTTGGGAAATGGCAACAGACAAATCAATCAAAGAATTGGCACATTGGGGTAGCTATAACAATAATTAAGATAATGGAGATGCTTGACTGATATATTGAGGCTTCTGTGAATCATGAGGGGATCTTAGAATCTAAAAGAAAACTGATTCACTAAAGGAAAGCTTCCCTTCATAATCTATTAACTTTTTTTCGAGGTTGTTATACGTCATATGGCTTATAGAAAATGTCCAGATTTGATGTATTTAGATTATCAACAATCTTTTGATAAGATAACACAGAAAAGATTAGTTGAGAAAATCACATCTGTGGGTTAGGGGAAATACTGGTAAACTGTAGCATGGTTATATGAGAAAAAGCAGAAAGTTGTTATTAATGGAGTCCAATTACACTAACTTGTAACTAGTGGAATGTATTAAGAATGAGTGCTTGGAACTTTAATATTTTTATTATCATTAATAATATTGATAGAGACATAATTACTTTCATTAGTAAACTATTAAAGTTTATGGGCAACATTAAACTCTTGGCCATTTCTAGGTGTAATGAAAATATTGAGGCATTACAGAATGGCTTGGAGCAGTTGGTAAGCTGGCAAATGACCTTTATAATAAGTGGAAGATAATGTATTTGGGTTATCAGAATTTGGATCACATGCCCAATATAGATAGAAATCCACATAGTAACAACTGTAGAAAAGGGTCTGTGTAGGAGAATGGATAAGTCACTCGAACCACCGAGACAGTATTATGTTGCTAATAGAACTTAAGAATGTATATATATAGGCACAAGATAAATAAAAAATTGGGAATTTAAAAATCTGCAAATAGGGATCTTAAAAAAAACAACAAGTAAGCAAACAAGGCTGGAGATACTGTAGACATTATTTACTCAAACTACAAACCCATATTTTGGCTCCATGCTGTTACCTAGAATTAATTTGGTGAAATAACAATAGGAATTTGTATTTTGAGTAAATAATGTTTACAGTATTTCTAGTCTTGTTTGCTTACTTTTTTATGATCCCTATTTGCAGGTTTTTAAATTTCCAATTTTTTATTTATATTGTTTGCTCGCATTTTTTATGCTCAATTATAGGCAAAGGATTACTTGATATGGTAGCTAACTTTATACATTGTAATGATATTAAACATAGCTAGTAGCCGAGTCAATTCATGGTGATTTGCTGTAGCTACTGACTATTTGATTGCATTGATTGGAGATGTAAAGTGTTAAGCTGCAGCTGGAGATTGTCATTTAGATTTGAGAATATAGTGAGAGTTTATAGTTTCTGTGAACTAAATTCACTATATATAATGCATGGCAATGGGAAAATGTATACCTAGACTAAGACAACCCTCACTAAGCACATATATAATTTTACCAGTAAAAAAGCAGCCTTTTCAAATAAAACATACATGCCTAAAACATCGTTTTAAATAAACTTTTGTGTCTTTAAAGTAGTTATTCTATGAATGTGTGTAATAAAATTTAATATTATGAGTATTGATTTTTTTTTATATAGGGGTTGGCTTCCTAAAGACTCTGACTGTATAGCATACAAAGCATTGAGTATCTACAGGCAAGTCATCTAATATCGCCTGGTAATTCCTGTTTTACCCTGTACTTAAGCTGTTTATAGGAACACCAAATGTTTGTAAGAAAGCTAACTTCAAGGGGTAATACTAACATCGCTTACTCTAGAATTATGATGTTTTTTAGCTTAACGAATCAGCTTTTCAATACATATAGGCTGTTTATAATCCCCATTTATCATTCTTTGACATGCTGTCTGTTTGAATTGGGCAGATATATCTATGTATTGGTTTATTCATTATGTAGTCTGTAACATCAAATTCATTGCGTACCCTTGTTTCTATCAATTTAATTACTAAAAATAATTTTAAATGGTTTTAAAGTTTTATTTGTGTTTTTTCAAATAGTAAATGCTTCTGGATCCAATGAAACTGTTCAGAACAAAGTAGAGCATGTAGAGAGCTATCATTTGATATATCACTGATTCTTATTGGTCCACCCAATTCAAACCAACACCCTAGTTTTGGTTTTAACATTTGTTCACTGACAAATGACAGACAAGGGCTTCAGCAATCTTCACGATGTTTTTCAAAGCCAGTTTCAAACTAGTGAGAGTATAGTTGCCTGGAAATAAATCATGCAAATTCAGCATGTAATGGTTGGAGACGGCTTGAATGGGTAATGAAGAAAAACTTTAACATAACAGCAAATGTACAACGTTTCGACAAAGTTTTGTCATCATCAGGTATGTTAAACTTATATTAAAGTTTTTCTTCATTACCCATTCAAGCCGTCTCCAACCATTATTAGTCTAAAAGTGGGTTCCTCATCATCAAATTTAAATTCAGCATGTACTAGTGCTGTAGACATTTTCCATTTGTTGTTTGGTGTACAATAATTAGTATTTTATTTATAAGAAATCTATATATTTACAACTGTGATTTTACATTCAAACACTTTTGTGACTGGACACTATAATTCTCTGGGACTCCCTTGAACTAGGCTTTGTGAATGTGCCATTTAGTGATGATTTATTGTCTTTCAAAATTTTTAGTGCACACTGGAGGGATTTACACATTTTGATAAAAAGTTTAGAAAAAACTACCTTTATATGCCAGATATATATCTATATATATAATAATTTTTTTTTTATAATTTAACCAATGTTTCACCTTTGTGGCTTCATCATGGTTAATATATTAACCCTGATGAAACCCAAGGCAAAACGTTAGGTTAAATTATTTTTTAATATATATCTGGAGTATAAGGTCGTTTTTTCTAAACTATTGATGATTTACACTGAAAATAATTCACAATTAGTACTAACTTAGATCTAGAACCCATGCCAAACTCTTATATAAATTGTTTAACCTACAGCTACAGTCTGTAGTATAGATCATACATCTATTGTACATGACGCACTTGATTATTGACTTACAAGTTACAGTTATACTATAGTAATGATTACTCTTAACTTGAGCAGCTATCTCAGTGAAACAATCAAAGTCTAATTCTTATTCAAACTACTATGTAACTTGAATATTGCTAATATTAGGGTTTTGTTAATGTTAGGTCAAACTCAAATATATTAATAATATTATTATTACGTTAGGCCTAGATTTTCATTTGATTTGTAAGTTAAATTCTCTGGTTTCGTTCTTTCATTAAAACAGATTAATCATGTCACTCAATATCATACAAATCTACAGTAACTATTGCAATGTTAGTATTTAACACTACTTATACTAGTATTAAAAAAGTAACAATACTACTGGTACTTTTAGCTGGTATTAGTAGTAGTACTCAGGAGTAATACTGAGTAATAGTAGGACTATTTTATTAGACCTACCAAAGGATTTCGTATCTTTGATAAATTCACTGCTTTATCATTAAAAACAATATGCTATTGCTACATTCAAAATAACAATCATTAAATACACTCTTCTTCACTTTCACTTAGTTCTTATTAATAAGAATAATCTTAATTATCACATCATCCCTCCCCGTCTTTGAGATTCTATTTCTCCGTGTAGCCCCCTAGAAATATTTCGGCGATATTTTATTTTGTGCGATTAGGTTTTTTTTTTTTGTTTGTGTTTTTAAATAACGCAAAATACAGTCCAGGTAACGTTACTGTGAAAAAATGCTACAAAGTGTAACTTGGTGGAATCGAGAACCAATTCCTTTTTTTTTTTTTAAGTTCATATGAAG